ATGGTCGTGGTGGAGGTTGGTTGTCATTTGTGCTCCTACAATTATTTTCAGTTTACTGCCGAGTTTTACGAGAAAGACAATCATTCCATCCTTCCACTTCTAAGGTATTGTACTTTCGGACATAGCGTACCCCAAAGTTTTTAATTAGTGAAACATTTAGATTACAGTAAAAGTCCAAAAATCCGGATGCCAGAAATCCAGACCACCCGAGAATCCGGACTTTTCGAAAACTCAAACTTAACTTCTTTTTTTTTTAATTTAGCTGGCTTTTGTGTGTATGTGTGCATGCGTGAGCGCCACAGCTGCACAGCTACAACAAGCGACCACGCAGTCACCACTTTAAAACGAGCAATCAAACTGTGACAACATATGTAATTTTGAGTCCTACTCTTTCCATTTACAGAGTACTGTACTGTACAAGCCCATAATAATGGCTCCTAAAGTAGATAAACTTCATTGTGTGAAGAGAAAGAAGAACACGTTGAAATTGAGTGACAAACTTGAAATAATTAAGAAACTAGAACGTGGTGTGAGCAATACTGTTCTAATGGAAACATACGACATTGGAAAGTCTACAATTTATGATATAAAAAAGGCAAAGAATAAAAGTTTAGAATTCACAGCTTTATCTTTAAAACTGCTCGTTTTGATAAATGAAGCATGCTATATTTGCTAATGAATAAACTATCAAAATGTACCTGTTCATCTCTTCTTTATTTCTCCTGAAATTTGAATTTTAAAAGTACTGCCTGAGAATCCGGAAAATCCAAAAATCTGGACTGACCCAATCCCCAAGCAGTCCGGATTTTTGGACTTCTACTGTAGTTTAAGCTAGGCCTACCAAGGGTACGGGGGCAGAGACCCTGGCTAAGGGTTAGGTTAGATGACTCGTTTTCATTTTCTCCCTCACCCAAAAACAGCAATTTCCCAGGCTCTCCCCCATTGTTGTTGGGGGCAAAAACGTGCAAATTACACCAAAAATGAAGGTCAGATCCATTTAAAACACACCAAAATACACTGGAAAAACATATTGGTCAACCCCTAGGGACTCATGTCCTAAAGTAAAAATTTACCAATTGTAGATATAGATAAACTAAAAATTATAAAATAAATAGTACTTATAATTAAAAAAGTTGTTGCATTGTATTTATTACTTACTATGGTAATTTCCAGGAACAGCACTACCACCACAAGGAGTTGTTCGATTTTTTTAATTTTTACCACAGATGTTCTAGTTAATATTGACGACTGACCCGCGGACGGGTTATTTGTCTTACTGTTTACTTCCTTACTTTATTTCCATCAGTGAGTTCAGAAATTTTCTTGTGCAAATGCTTTGTTTGGTAGATAATTAGGAGCCTAGGAGTGCACTACTTTGTCTTCTCGGCGACGATGTCTCATCCCAGGCTGTAAACAGCCAATCATATTACTGTAGCGTATTTCAAAACACACAGCCGCCCCGGCTTAATTAACACCAATGCTCAGTGTCTGCTTAAAAACCATTCGGTACGAACGGCTGTTCTCACGTCCACAAAAATAATAAAATTACACCATATCACAGTAAGTACTCTCTGTTTAATATACCTGGGGTGCCCGGGGTCGGAGCCCCCTGACTAGGAAGTTAGGTAAGGTTAGGTAGGTTTGTTTGGTTAGGTTGGTGAGGTCTTGTAACAATGCTTCTGCTGCTTGTTTTTCATATCAACTAAGGTTAGGTTATGTTTAATTTAGAAATAACCACTTTTTAACATACAAACTACGACAGTGTCCACTATAAAACACAGTGAAATTGCGGTGTTTTTATAAGTTTTTTCTATGAAAAATCGGCCGCGGATCAGCTGTCAATAATTACCAATGTTCTTATCACCATATTAATTATTTTAAAAGAGGGTACATTTTATTTTAATTATATATATATATATATATATATATATATATATATATATATATATATATATATATATATATATATATATATATATATATATATATATATATATATATATATATATATATATATATATATATATATATTTGGTATCTTTGCATTAGTTCACACAACTTTCCTGCCCCAAATCTATTATCATATTCGAAAAAGACGTCTAATTTTAAGGTAATTTTCTTCTATTACATTCCCGTCTCAAACGTATAATAACGGAGATAGCGCATGCCAAATCTTTCTCTATTTTCTTCATAAATCGTCATGCACATGCATTCCCATACATGTCATGCAGCCAATCAAAGCGTTTATTTTTGGCCACCAATTAAAATGAATTGTGGATTAATTTGCAGCATTTTTTGCCCAACCAGATTCGATTGTGATTCTGGTCTCTCATATTTTGAAATTCAAATTCATTTCCGACCATGGAAGTCTGCGATGGGTGTAACTTCAATTATAAAGAGTTGATTGTGCGTTTTGGGAAAAAACGAACAAACTAAACAAACTACTGCATAAATTTTTTTAGATCTCATGGTGTTCTACCGACCTCAGTAAAGTGTCCTAAGTGTAAGAATGCGTGAAAAAATCGTCAAGACCAACATAGTTGGCATGAACCAGGCCAATAAGGTAAGAAATAAGTGATTCCATCAAATGGTGACAGGTTAGGTCAGGTTCTGTTTATATGTTTTTCTATTGTTTTTTTTTTTTTTTGTATTGGCTTAGCCATGATTTTTGTCAGAAAATGCCCCACCCAAAACCAGATAACTAAAAAACAGGCACTTTACGGCAGAAATCAAAGTCAGAACCAATCAAAACAAACATTAGAAAACATAGTTTTGACTTTCTACCAGAGTTGTGGGAACTACTGCAAATTTACCATATTTTTTTCTCTATTTGCAATCATTATCACCTGTAGTGAGCAGGGCATGAAGGGTGAGGGAAAGTGCAGGGTAAAACAGTGAAAGCTGGTCATATGAGACTAAAATTATGTCTTTATGTACTTTCTATGCAAAGAAATTAATCATTTACCATAAATACTCCTCCAAACAATCTGCTGAGTCACTGCACGTCATCAGTTTGTTTACAACTGACCCACAAGGTCTGAGGGTGGCCGGTAATAGTCACAGGAAAAAAAGTCACAGAAAAAAGTCACAATTAATTTATGGTGGCCGGTAATAAAGGTAAGGTTAGGTTAGGTTAGGTTACTGAAACTGACTGACATATTAACCTTAAAAAATGTGAGAATTCGATAGTTAACTTTTCTTTTTTTCCTGTGACTTTTTTCCTGTGACTTTTTTACCTGTGACTTTTTTACCTGGATTCGGTCTGAGCATACTCTTATGTCCACAAAAAAAATTAAAATTACACCATGACACTTCAACAAAGATGCTTTCACTTGGTATCTAAAATGAAAATAAGTACTTTCTGTTTAATATGGCTGCATGCCTAGGAAGTTTGGTATTTTTTTTTTTATTATTACGGGAATTAGCCCACCCGGGCACAGGTCGAACGACCTACAACGGGGCCTGCGGGGCAAAAAAATAAGAACAGAAAGAAATTAAAAGAGAGAAGTAAAAGATTATGCTGTGTTAATCTATACCAAGCAGATGCCGGAAAACCAGCCTTTTAAAGTGAGACAGATTGTATAAGTATGGAAACACAGAAGGCAGAGCATTCCACAGTTTGGCTGTGTGAGGAAAGAAGGATGTACTATAACGGGCTATTCTAGTGGGACTGACATCCACAAAGAAATGGTGGGCACCGCGGGCAAGACGTGTTTTATGAGCCCACGGCCTCGCCGGCAGTACACAGGATGCCAAATCCACCGAACATAGCCCGTTAAAGTACCTGTAAAAGAGAGAGAGTGAAGCAACATTGCAGCGATGAGAAATGGAAGAAAGATTATCAGCTAAAGGAGGACAGCTAAACGGAAGAAGAGCCACCCCTAGATATGAGCGCAGTACTCCAAGTTAGGACGAATGAATCCCTTATATACTTGAAGCAACTGCTCAGGAGTGAGGTAGCAACGGCATCTGTACAGCATTCCCAACTTTCGGAAGGCAGCTTTAGCTATGTTAAGGAAGTGTAATTTCCAGGACTTATTGGAGGAAATGGTGGGGCCTAGCATATTTATTTCAGAATTTGGCAGAATGATTGCAACCTGAAATGTAATTGGTGGCAGATCATTTAATTTAGAAAGTGTAATTGGTAAATACTGAGTTTTATTACTATTGAATTTAACCAAGTTTGTACCTCCCCATTCAGAGATGCTGCACAGATCTGCATTGATAGAAGTAATGATATCAGGTTAGGTAGGTTTCTTTGGTTGGTTAGGTTCTATTAGGTTTTAATAAATGTCATCTCTTTTAAAATACTTACAATAATAATAAGAATGTGTGTTAAAAATAAAAGGAATTGAACAACTTCTGGTGTTACCCATCTGCCCCAGTATTATCAAAGTTAGATTTTTCCAAACAATCAAATGTAATTTAGGAATGGTTGTAATGACCCGCACACTGCATGGTTTTAATATGATATAACCTGTGTATAGAACTTAATATAAATTTTAATAAATTCCTTCGGCCAGTGTATCATCCCTAATACCTGGGGTGCTGGACAATTCGTACCCAAGCAAATGTCCATATGTAATCCAGTTGTCTCTGAAGATGTCTTGAATAAAAACGAAAGCTAAAGTGCTCCATTGTTTCCCTTTTCCCGTGTGATTTTATCAAGATATATATATATATATATATATATATATATATATATATATATATATATATATATATATATATATATATATATATATATATATATATATACAAATAAAATGCATGGTATACATACTAATAGGTATGGATTATCTCTTGAATTGGGTGTAAGTAATTTTGGGTACGACTTATCTCGTGAGTTGGGTACGACTTATCTTGGGTACGAGATGACCCTAACCCTAATACCTGCCATACATGACTAGTTCATCCCATGTTCAGAGATCATTGCTACCACCATGCTAACGTAGGTTACACCAGAAGCCCATATTATTAGTACTGTTTGATATACACACCTTGAACTCAAGAAGGTTCTTGCTTGATGATCGAGCACTTCCTCCAAATAATGCTGTCGACATTTTTTCTTAAGAGATGTTGAACTTGAGCAACCAAGGAGTGAGTGAGGCAAACACCCGATCTTCACGTCCAATGACTAAGCAGTTTGGTGTAGAGTGTAGACTACCAACCAAACCCCAAACACCGAACCCCAAACTCGTTACATAGCTATATACTGTATATTAGACTTATTTCAGATGGATGAAACGTAATTTTCTGAGGTTTCATAATGTCTACAACAGTTAGGAAAATTCTTACCCAAGTACAAAAAAGTGGTGAAGAGGATAAAACTAATGAAAAATTGCCAGGATTCCTTAAATATGCGTTGCCAGAACACAGGTGATTTATTATAAAAGGATGTTGCATTCCCAAATAATGAAAATATATGAAGTGTTGAAAACAGTCAAGATTCATATATGTAATATGTGATTCTTGTTCTGTAAGTTAAGAGTTTAGTGTTTCGGGTTTGGGGTTTGGTATTGGTTTTAGGTTTAGCCACTGATGTTGTGGTTCTCTGTGATGTCACAGCTTGGTGTCTGAATTTGTTAAGATTATTGTAAAGTTATATTCGGAAATTAATATTTTAATATCCACCTTTCACACTTGTCTTGTTACTTGTATTAATACATCGTATACCTATCCGTAGAAATTTTGAAGTCATGAAAATAGCACCACACTACGTATACTCTTCCATTTGTCCCAACCAAATTATTCGTTCCTCTTCTAATTATACGAAATTTATGAACGGTTAAGATACTAATAATACACCTGTGCTTTGCATGGTTTATTCACAGTGAAATAAAGAAATAAATATTATATTAATGAAAAGTATAACTGCCGAGTAATGGAGGTGCTTCAATGGCTCCATTTTACTTTTGTTCTGTTTGTTTTGTTTTATTTGCTTCACCACTGATCGGCTCGTTATCCGCTTGGGCGATCGGTCACGTCTCTGTTACTTTTCCTTTTCTTTTATTCTCTTCACCAAATGATCGACTCGTTAGCCCCTTGGGCGATCGGTCATGTCTCTGTTACGCTGCTTACGTACTGTTGTCAAGTACCGGGCATGTGTTGGTCAAGTCTGGTCTTGAAAGAGCTCACACTCGGTGCCGTCACAACACTCTCTGGTAGATCGTTCCAAGAGTTTGCAACTCTCACTCCGAAAAAGTTTGCCCTCACAGTTTTCTGGACTTGCGGCTTCCTCAATCTTGAGCTGTGACCCCTTGTGGGGCGAGCGTCCGCCAGCTCCAAGTAAGGACACTCGACTGAATAAGTGCCCCTTGAGATGCTTATACACCTCAATTAGGTCGCCTCTTGCCCGTCTGTAGTATAAGCTAGGCAAGTTCAGGCGCTCCAATCTCTCAGGGTAGTTGAGGTGCCGAAGTGCAGGCACCAGTCTGGTGGCCCTCCTTTGAACATTTTCAATCAACTGACAGTCCGTAGCATGTCTCGGGAACCAGGCGGGGTGACAGAACGCCAGATGGGGAAGCACTTCACTCTTGAAGATCTTTTTGAGGGATATCTGAATGACCTTCTTATAAGACCCAATAATTTATTTGCCTGATTTACCTTCTCGCAATGGCCCGAGAACTTCAGCTCATTGTCAACATACACACCTTGGTCCTTCTCACATTCAGTCTCAAATAGTGCAGTTTCTTCATCCCGTTGGGACATATGATACGCCTCCTTACCGTTGGTATGCTCCAGGTGCATCCTCTTACACTTCGTGACATTGAGTCTCAGCAGCCATTTCTTCGACGGGCAAAAAGGGGGGGGGGTTGGGGGGACCTAAATGAGGTTGTATAAACATCTCAAAGGACATTACTCAGTCGAGTGTCCTTACCTGGAGCTGGCGGACGCTCGCCCCACAATGGGTCACAGCTCAAGGTTGACGAAGCCGCAAGTCCAGGAAACTGTGATGGCGAACCTTTCGAAGTGAGAGTTGTGAACTCGTGGAACAACCTACCAGAGTGTTATGACGGCACCGAGTGTGAGCTCTTTCAAGGCCAGACTTGACCAGCACTGGAACAGGTTTAGATACATTCAGGAGCCAGTGCATGACCAGTACTTACCAACAGTGCGTAACAGAGACGTGGCCGATCGCCCCAGCGGCTAACCAGCCGATCAGTGGTGAAGAGGATAAACGTAAAGTAAAAGTAAGAGGAATTTTGGAATGTCCGTAGGTTGAACAATAAATGCAAGACGGCCAAAGTTGGAAAAGTTCCAGAAATAGAACCACTAAATGTTTTTTAGTGAAGACAACTCCAACCTGACCTACTGTAATTAACTACCCTAAGGTTTAGCGAGTCTATTTGAGGTTGTAGCGTAGTGTATGTGGCGCAGTAGTCAAAGTTCTCTTTCTTATGTGTCATTTTTTTCTTTCTTAGGACCGCATGCACACGTACATAAAGATCTCGTACTCAGGATGGAGGTGAGAAAGGAAACTCACAATAGCGTTTTCTTTACGTATATTGTATGTACAGTGAAAGAAGATGCTGGAGGAGTTGCTGTGTTGTAGAGGAGTTTGTTGAGAGGAGGTCTTGTCGGTTTGAGAGCTTGGAGTAGAATGCCCTTCTTGGTGTGTTGTGTTGTTGTTGAGATTGTTGGACCGTAGTCCGACACGGGCCTTTGCCTGTAAGCTGCCCGTTTGGTGGTTCCGGCTGGAGCTCTTGGAGCAGCCAGACCGGATTTGGGATTGGGGGATGGAGGTTGTCCTACCTGCACATATGAAAGGATACTGCAGGTTTGCAAATGTGAGCGGACCCTCGGTCAGTGAACGCTTACCACCAACTCCCACTCTTGGACGTGGTCAGTTTCGGAGTGGCACACCCCCCGAACTGGGGTCCGCACTTGCTGGGGGATGATACTTCCTAAGCTATCTGGGTGGTGGGTATCGTGTGATGACCCGGAGAAGGTGGTGAATGTGGTTTGTTTGGGCCTTTCGGGTTATAGTGGCCGCTGGTGTTGTGCATTCTTCTTGGAAGTTTCGAATTCTGTTTTGGAGACTTTGAGTGACTTCGCAGTCGAGGAGATAGTGTTCCAGTGGGTTGGCCGCTGGCTCCTGACAGTAGGTGCATTCCCTGACGACATTTCCGATCGTCTGCCAGGTGCACTTTTACCTGAAGGTTCCAAGTGTTCCCTGAAGAAGGCAGTGATGGGTAGGGAAACATTGGGTAACACTGAAGTCCATATATTAACGGATAGGAGAGATACAAGTCGTGAGCAGCGTGCGCATGAAGTGCCATGCACGACCCACGGAGTCAGAGTAAGGCGGCATTGCCATATGGCAGCCTCGGGGCAATGTTGCCACATAACATGTGCATTGTTGTCACGTAATTACATACATAGATGCTACTCGGCACAGTAGCTTATATACAAGGTTGCTACTCGGCACAGTAGCTTAGATACATAACCTACATCTCCCTCCCCCCTCACGCTCATAGTCTTTGTCTTGAGCGGACTTCTTAGTCCTAAGTCGCTCCGAGCGTCGAGGTGCACTGTGGGGCGGATCCTCGTGAGGTGTAGGGGACTCGTCCTCGGTCAGGGGGGCCAGCAGCAGGGAGTGGGACTGGCCGGAGGAAGCGGCGGTTCCTCCACCAGACGCGGCCGCTCGGCATCCTGACCTTGTAGTCCCGCGACTGGCCGACGCCCATCACTATGCCCACCTTGTCCCAACGTGTTGTCGTCGGGTCCTGGACGCGGGCAAGGGCACCAATCTCCAGCGGCTGAAGAGGGCGGGCACGGTCGTCATACCGAGCCTTGGCGTCCTGGGCACGTGTAGCGGCGCGGTGGTCGCAGCTCTCGGCTCTGGTCTGCCACTCCTTCGCAAAGGCCTTGGCGTGTGCAGGAACGCAAGAGCGGAGAGGGTGACCATACAGGATCTGGGCAGGGGAGCGTCCTGTGTGGGTGGGAGTATTACGTAACTCCAGGAGTCCTTTGTCAAATGCCTCACAGTCTATGTTGCCTCAAGGGGCCACCTTGAGGATGAGGTGCTTGACTGTCTTGACCAACAGCCTCAGCGTGGCCGTTTGACTGTGGGTAGTGGGGTGTTGACACGATGTGGCTGACTCCCCAACGCTCCAGGAATCCTGTGAAGTCCCGGCTGGTGAACTGTGGCCCACCGTCCGTCCACAGACGTACGGGGACGCCCAGGTCACGAAAGAGGTGCCGGAAGTGGCGAATGGTGGCCGCGGACGTCGTGTCCGAGCCACAGATTACCACCACAGGCCAGCCAGAGAGTCGGCCGGCAACAACTAGGAAATGTTTCCGAGCTGTGCTGAAGAAATAAGCCGACACGGACTCGAAGGGCCTGGTGAGTTCGTTGTCGCACAAGAGGGGCTCCTGCTGTTGGCTGGGTTGCATGATCTGGCATGGCTCACAGGCACGGACCGTATTGACGATATCCGCGTCAATGCCGGACCAGTGCACAGCCTGCCTTGTGCAGAGCTTGGTGGCCTCTGCTCCACGATGGCTGTCGTGTAAGTGGGCCAGAATGCAACGACGGAGAGCTGCAGGGACGACCACACGGGCACCGTACAGGACGAGGTCCCCATCTGCGTAGAGGTCCTCACGTATCTTCCAATATGGGCGTAGGGCGTTGTGGAGGTCAACACGGTCGCGAGGGAACCCAGTCCTCACACTCTCCAAGAGCTGAGTGTAGGAGGGGTCGTCGCGTGCCGCGGTCCGTAGTTCCTCAAGGGTCAGATCGCTGTCGGGTGGCGACACTGAGGCCTGGGTGCTGGCGAGGGACTGTACGGCCTGCAAAGTGACGATGTTGCTGACGGAGAAACCGGCCTCGGTGCTGAGCATCTCGTCTTCAGGTGTCGGGCGGCTGACTCGGGAGCGGGAGAGGGCATCCGGGATGCACAACTCCTTACCTGCGCGCCAAGCCGCAGTGAAGACGAAGGCCAAAATCTTCTCCTTCAGGCGCTGGAGGCGGGGATTCTCGATGGCGTCCAGCGAATAGTGGTTAAGAATGGGGACCAAGGGCCTGTGGTCTGTGATGAGGTCGAAGTGCTGTAGGCCAATCAAGTAAAACTTGCACTTCGATAAGGCCCATACCACTGCCAGCAGCTCCAGCTCAATGGTAGCGTAGTGAGACTCAGCATCGGTGAGGAAGCGAGAGCC